GGAGGGTCAGAGGGAGAAGCAGACTCCCTGCCGAGCAGGGAGCCCGATGCGGGACTCTATCCCAGGACTCCAGGATCATGACCTGAGCCGAAGGCAGTCGCTTAACCAACTGAGCCACCCAGGCACCCCAGAAAGGCAATAAGTAAAGGAAGTGTTATCAAGCAGCTATTATTGTGGGCAACTGAACTTAATCCCAATCAGGAAACTCTGGGAGCCAGTGTCTTGATAGAAGACTGATGGGAGGTTATTAATTTCCAGACAGTTCTGGTCTTCCATAAGGGCAGACAAAGTGCCTTAGAATCAGATAAAACTTTCAGAAAGAGAAATGCAGCAACTGGCCACTGGAATTTACCCTCTGTCCTGAAGTAGTAAGGGTAAAGAAATAGGTTATGTCACTGATAGCATCTGAAGACAAATAGAAGCTAGCATGTATTGGGTGCCTGGGTGGCTCAGTCGTTAAGCGTCTGCCTTCGGCTCAGGTCACGATCTCAGGATCCTGGGATCATGACCTGAGCGGAAGGCAGACGCTTAACGACTGAGCCACCCAGGCGCCCACACACCCTTTAAATTTCTACAATGTGTAACACTTTAGGGGATTGGTGGGATGTATGGATAGGCTGGGTACCACCCGAACCTTCAAGGAGCTTACAGATTAGTTATGGTGATAGGATTTGGGCAATTATAGCATGGGGACTTACAAGTTTTAATGTAATTAGCTTCCTCTTTCCATTGAAGGAGTTAACAGTTTTCTCTCTTTTTCTTTTACAGGACCATCTATAGATGTTTGCAAGGACCTAAGCCATGAAACCTAAAAGTGTGGTTCACATGAACCTCCTGTGTCAGGATCACCTAGGGCCTTATTACAAATACAAACTCTCAAGACTTACCACAAATTTAGTAAATTTAGTCTAGGGCTATGAGCCAGGACTGTTCACTTTTAACTAGCTCTCCAAATGATTCTGATGTACACTAGGTTTGAGAATGCATGGTCTAAGCAGATAACTCAACCTAGATTGCTAGACCACTGGACTACAATGGAGCTGCTCCCATTCATGCCATATTCTCACATGCCAAGGGGCCACAGGAACAAAAACACTTCAAAAAAGTAGAAGGGGCCCTGGAGATGGACAAGCAATATCAGTGGGGTATTAGAGGGATACTTCAAGCCTACCTGCCTTTTTGGCCTTTGTTAGCGTTACATAAGGTAGGAACCTCCACTTAACCTAGAATTCCTCCCTTTAGGCTTCTCACCCCTTTGATGGTTTCATTCATCCATTTAATAACTCTTGAGGACCTAATATACTTTTTTAGGACTAGAGCTAGGTACCAGGGATTTGACAGTGAACCCAACCTGGTCCTCTACTCAGATCTTGTTGGGGAGTCAGACAAGTAAACAATTACAGAACAATATAGTGATATGTGCTCTGAGAAAGGGATCTGTAGGAATGCCAAGAGAGGAAGGACACCCAAACCAGTCTTCCTACAAGAAGAGATACCTATGAAAGACTTAAAAGATGAACTGGAATTGGGGACCTCTAAATGAGAATGGGCATGAGAGTATTTTAAACATAAAGTATTGCATGAGCAAAGGCCAGAAACCAGGCGGGAGTATGGGAAGTAAAATCTGGTCAGTGTTGTGGAGGGGAGTTTGAAGCACTGGAAAGAAAATACAGTGAAGAGCAATGTAATACTGTGATTTTTAAAATGAACAACTGTTATAATATCCTCATTGTCCTGGAAGCATGGAAGGCCCATGGTTGAGCTACTAGATGGCCAATAAAGTAGCTAGAACCTGTCTTATAAGGGCTGGAATTCCAGGCACAGCCATATCCACTGGGCACTTAAAGGAAACAGACTGGAGAGGCAAAGGAGAAAGAGGAACATGGCAGTGACAAGCCAGGGTGGAAAGCTGGTATGGTGGTGGGAGGTAGCATAGAATCTAGGAAGGTCAAAGAAGAAAAGATACTCTAAGCAATTCTGGCCTTTTTACCTAATTTTTCTCCCTCAACAAACAAAAGGCTTACCTGGAGGTGCTTTTCTCCTTAATTCAATATTTAATAAATTTCTTTTTGTTCCTATGGTGAGGGCAAGAAAATACAACTCTCTATTTCTGGTAAAGAGAGTGGCCTCCTGGGGTGTAAGTTACTTACTGTTGATGGAGTCGGCCAAAATCTTAAGTTGCTGTGTATTGTCCAAGACCTCAATCCTTTGAGTGTATGGGTCATAACGAACTGAGAAGGGCCGTGGGATTGTAGCAGCAAAGTTCCTGAAACCAAATCCACAAAGCTCAGTAAAGGGCACCATTCAGGGAAAAATAATTCTAAAAGATTTCTCAGTGGCATTTCACTTCAATCTCACTAGAACAGGGGCTCTGAGAAGTGAAATGGAATTTTAGTGAGATCCTTTTGGGAAGCCTTGTGTGCTGTGTATGTGTCTAGGTGTATATACAAACACACATGGGCACATACTTATTTAGTTACCTACCTCCAAAATGACAGAGATAGCTTACAATAAAAGCACAGAATACATTAAGGCCAAAATTCTTACCATTAAATAAAATCAAAAGAGCAAACAAATCTAGCCAAAGAATGCTATAGAAAAAAATAAGCTCTGAGATGCTTGGAAATCAATGCAAGGAGGGAAACACAGCTCTCAAGAATGGAAGAAAATACTATGTTATTAATGAAACTTAACATGAATTGAGTGCCTCCTATGTACCAAAACTATGTGAGGTCCTAATTGTTCTATACTTTTTACAACTATCGTTCCTAACTTAATCTTCATAAAAACCTTAGAAGGAAGGTACTATTACTATCCCTATTTTACTGATGAGAAAACTGAAGTTTAGGGAGATTCAATGACTACCAAGGACATACTGGCAATAAATTGTGCAGCTGAAACCCTTTTCAGGTAGTCTGACTCTGGCCTGTGTTCTTCACTTCTTTGTCTTCTTGATGCATTCATTACTCCTGGGTCTAGGAGGAATGTACCAGGAGGACCTTATAAGGGACATTAAGCAATGCAAATAATAAGATATCCCCCAATAACCTATAAAATGCAATGGCATCACAAATAATATTTCTAAGTTGGCTTCTGGTGAGAGTTGAATCTGCCATACTGAGAAGACAATTCTAAGGGAAACTAGTGGGCTCTCCAAGTTTGGCAAGAGTGGTGGATCATCATGGCTGGAAACCCAAGTTCCAGAGCCAGGCACTGGGCTCAAACCTTGCCTCTACCAATGACAGCCCTTGCAAGCTGCACCTCGGTGTCCTCATTCCTCTATAAAACTGGAACAGAGCAGTACTACCTGAGAGGGTCATAGCAAGTGCTGTTATAGTATAGAGTAAGTGCTACATGAGTGTTAGCTGTTCTCTTTCATTAGTGACTGGGGACTCAAGAAGAACAAATGGTGAAGTATATGTCTCCACCTCTACTTCTCTGAAAATAGCTTTCTCAACCCCACTGGTGACATGAAGCATGTAATGCATGTCTGTGATTTGGCCTGCTCTGCATCTCCTCCTTCTTATTCCCATCGTTTACCTCATCTTTGCTTTGCGCAATCTGCCTCTATGCCAAGAGAGGGGTTCATCTAGGCAATCAGTCTCAGGGCCCAGCCCCTCCTCTAGCCAGGGAGTGGGCACATGACCCACTCAGCATTGTTTCTTTCTGCCTAGAACTTGAATCTTGAAACTGAAAATGGTTGAAGCTGGTTTCTCTTAGCTGGGAGGCTTTGAGAGAATCCCTTCCTTTTCTGAACCCTGTTTTTCAGCATTCCCTTTGACTCTGTGAGTCACCTCTCAGCAGGATGGAGTTTTTGTGGGTGTCTCCTCTGAGCTGTGGATACTGACAGAGCGGGTGGGATTTCAAAGGCCCAAAAAGTCTAGGTTCTGGAAAGCTCTTCTCTGCTGGTCTGGGATTGATCACTTCCTGGGTTAAAAAGTCATCATCAGGAGGGCCCATTTAAATGTGATCCTGGTTTGATAGATCCTGTTTTGAGCACCACTGCCTGGGTCCAAACCCTGGGTCAGCCACTTACCAGCTGTATGACCCTGGGTGAGTCTTTTACCCTTTCTATGATTCTGAACCCCACCTGCAAACTTCATAGTCTTATTTGAAGTTTAAATGAATCAATACATGAAAAACAACTTAGAACATTTAGTATTTGGTACATAATAGGTGTTAATACATTTAATCTTCTTCTTCTTCCCCTTCTTCTTCTTCTTCTTCTTCTTCTTCTTCTTCTTCTTCTTCTTCTTTCTTCTCTTTCTTCTTCTTCTTCTCCTTCTTCTTCTGATTATTATTACCCAGGAGGGATAATGCACAAACCCACTGAAATCCATAACCCCAAAAGGGTCCCAGAAATGGCAGAGAGGAACCTTTAGGGGCTAGAGGAAGGCTATACTCCCAGTAAGGAGTGGAGATTTAGGAAATAACTAGAAATGAATAACTGAAAGAACGTGAAGGCCCTGGAGAGATAGGAGGAAGGGAGACATTTTAGGCCAAACCATGTGGACCTGTGGGCAAGCATTTTACCTTCCATCACCTGAGCTCAACACAGTGGAAGCTGGCATACCCAGCTTCGTGGGATCCCAGAAACCTATATATCTATGTCTATCATCCCTCACGGATAAGATATAAAAAAAAGTGGTAACAAACACTGAGTATCAGGATAGCCATGTCCAGGTAGACCCTCTGCCTGGCCTGTCTCTTGCTAGGAGGAGAGTCCTCAAGTGGATTATAGACAGGGCTGTCAGCTCAGTGGGCTGAGAATCTGAGTCCTGATAGCTTTCCATCCCCATCAGCCTTTTGCTGGATTGTCTCTGAGATTGATGCACTTGCCTATTACTTATTGCATGCTTACTATGTATCAGGCACTTTTCCAGAGACTGCGGAAAGAACAGGAAAACAAAAAGGACAAAAATTCCTACCCAAATAGAGCTTAAATCATATAATATATTAAACATTAGCAGGTGCTAAAGAGAAAAATAAATTGCAGAAGGGTGTAAGGAGTGTGGGGATGGGGCTGGGTAGGGATTTTAAGTAAGTTGGTTAGTTAGAGCAAGACACACAGAGAAGGTTAAATGTGGGTGAAGATTTGAAGGAACAAAGAAGGTGAATTATGCAGATGTTGGGAGAATAAAGTGAACAAGGAATTCCCCCAGGTTAGAAGAATCCTAGGAATGATTTGTTGGGGACCTTCTGTGGCTACTCTGTACACAGGAGAGAGTTCAGTGTCTGGGCTTAGTGGCTACATTAAAACAAGGATCCAGTGGCAGAATTGTCTGCAGGGGTCAACATGTCCAGACAATAATCTGTGAAATGGGGTCCCACTAAGGAACCCCTCCCAAACATAAAGTGGAAAAGGACAAGGGTGGGGAGGCTCTGTCTGCTGCATACTGTTGCTATAAGCATTGGAGTCCACTCTCCTGGACAACCACATACAGATCAATGGCATCAGACCAAATCAGGAGTCCCCAAGATCTTTTGACACACCTTGGTCACCACCTCACCTCACTTTCTCCTTTGCATCATTAAAACTCTCAGCCACATAATAGAGGGGCTGGAACTCTGTGACGGTGTACTCCTGGACGGCTGTCTTCTCCAGCTCCAGGGGGAGGAGCTTTGGCGTGCCAGACAAGCAGTACTGCAGGCAGCAAGTAGAAAGTTTTCACAGGTAAGTCTGGGTCAGTGGTTCCTTTTGCCTCCCATAGGCTGTTTGTGCACCTTTTCCCATCTCATCCTGATTCCTTCCACACCCCAGCCCAAATGCAGTAAACTGAATTATTTCACATATACTAGATCCTACCCTTACAGCCCATCTAAAACCTATAGTCCAGCTAGAAAGGAGTAATTCCGTCTAGCCATTTTCATGTGAGATGATCAATAGAGGATGTGAGAGCCAACCACATGGATTTGCATACATCTGTAGGCACAGTTCAGCCTTGGGATTGGGAGGCCCTTCTGTTTTGTAGACTTGTGTACTTGCAGTTCAATTTCTACATCTAACACCCAAAGTCATGAACAAATCAGAGCTGCTAAGGTACCAATCATTTGAGGATTAACTCCTGGGTTAAATCTCAAAATGGGTATTAATGGGGTCATACCTGTAATTCACCAAAAGACGACAGGAGCCCAGCACCATACGCCTTTATGGAGTCTCCTTGTTTGCAGAGGCCAAACTCCACAGTAAACCAGTAAATCTGGGATGGAAAGTGAGGTTGAGAGCACACCCCAAGGAAGGGAAAGGCAGCAGATGCCCCAGGGCTAAGGACGGGACTGTCCAGGTGGGCGTTTGTACAGGTCTGTTCTCTGAATCACCATGACCTGGGGTCACTTCTCCGTGTTCTGTCTTACTCTATCCAGTCACTGGTTGAATTAAGAGTTGGCTGAATGTAAGATGTGATAAGAAGCAGAGAGGGAGTACTGAGGAAGCCCCAAGATACCCCCAGAAGGTAACTCTAGATGACAGGAATTCCTCAACCCCTTTTGCTTTCTTCTCTGTGGCATTAACTATAACGAGATGTTCCCTTTAGTTGGTCAGACTTACCATGCAAACCCATCAAGCTCAGTCATGGGAGGTAGGAGACCAGGTAGTGATAAAATCATTGAGGGCATCCTGCCATTCATGCTAAAACTTGGGGTGTTTCTGATGTACTGCCAACAACTGCACTTATCCTCCTCAAATAACCAAGTCCTTTTCTTTAAACAGCTCCCAGTCCAACATGTCCTAGATGCCTGGCCTGAGGAAGGTGATCCTGGAATTCTGGCATAACCCTATTGACCAGGGCCAAGAGAAACCTTGGGCCCAGTTAGATGCTGGAGACAGTCATGGTCTTAGAGAATTAGGGATGGGTTATGAGGTAAGTCTGTTTATTGCACTAAAGAATGTGAAACTTGGGAAGGCTGTCAGCTTAATCAGTCTCACCTCCTCACGTACAGATGATGTGTTTTCAGCCCAGAGAGGTCAAGCAGTATGCATCCATTTACATAGCAAATCAAAGGCAGAGCAAGAACCTAGAGCTGTTCCCTGCCCAGTGTATCAATAGTAAGGTTTTTGTTTTTGTTTTTTGAGAAGTTATGTTGGCGATGAGTACTTTTATCATTGTCATAGCAGGTAACATGATGCTCTGAGTTCTTAGTTTGTTTTCTTCCTACAAGTGAGAGATTCCAAGATCTTCAACTTCTTTGAAAGCTGCTTCTTGCATCTATATAGAATCTAACATTTAAAAATTTATGTTCACACACACTTAACTCTTCAGACCCTTATGATATGCTTTTTAGGTGGGCAGAATATAAACTAATATAACCATTTTTAGAGATGAGGAAGCAAAAGCTGCTTGCCCAGCGGCTCAGAGCAGCTGGTCAGTGAGAAACTTCTGGAAATTTTTGCTCTTCTAAACCGATTTCATAAACTTCTAAACTGATACATCTTATTGATAAATTCTCATTCATTTGTGTCCCTTAATTCCTTACAAAGCTTTATTTTTCATCTTCCAGACTGAACAAATTGTAAGAAATGTGACTCAGACACTGGGGAGGGATAAACTCAAGTTGGAAAGGAGTCTGTAGGAAGAAAACCCCCTACTGTGAAGAGTTGTTGATTCTATGCTTCAATGGATGAGTGTCATCACATTCACTGGGGAGAGAGAAGTGTTCAATAAGACGAGAAAAACCCACCCCCATTTCCAACCTTGTGTCTAATAAAGGAAAGATCCTAATGCTAGATCCAGTGCAAAAGAGGTGTGTAAATATTTCCTCTTCAAAGCCATGAATCCAGGCTATTCCCCCCACACACACTTTATGCCCAAAGGTTCTCAAGGGCTATCATTACAGCCCATTCCTGTTTAAGATACTTTGTTTAAAATTACATGCAAACATTTGCATGTAGCTGATTTCAAAATCAGACCATTAAGGAAAAATCAAAATGTGAAATTTCATTTGTGTAAATGTAAGTCAGCATATTCTGATATTTTCCCCCAGATGACCTGGATTTCAGGGGAGGATCAAAGCTTTGAAGATCTGAGGACTACAGCCTATTGCACTCTCACTATCCACCAGAGGCAGAGGGAACTTACTGTGGCGAGTTTCTCAATGTACTCATCAGGTGCACCCAGAGAGGCAAGGCCAATTTCCTGTAATTGTAGAGAAACAGAGTCACTGGCATGGCTGTGGTCTGCCTAACTTCAAACTTCACCCTCAGCTCCGACCTTGTACTTGCCACAGGAAGGTGATGGGTGACCAGATGCCTTCAGAAGGGCCCAGATAGACCCTGATTATTCTGTTAGGTCTTCCCTAGTCACACATCATAGAATCATAGATCTCTATAGCAGGAAAACCTTATTTCATCACTTGGTCTTTTGTATTTACTTTACAAATGAGAAAACTGAGGCACAGAGAAGGGAGCTGACCTACTCAAGGTCACACAGTAGGTTGTGTCTAAAGTTTCATTCCTTGATTCCAGCTCAGTGATTATTCTCCCATAGCTCAAGCAGAACATTCCTGGCATACAAATGAGTGCCTTAATCATGTATCATGAAGATACCAGAGGAGAATTGCTGAGAAATGTTTGACATCCATCCAGGTAAATACTAGCTAGAGAGTCTGAAATACTATGGACCACTTCTCATCGCAGCTCCAATTACAGAATTCCCCTAGTGGTCTGTCTTTGTCCCTTTTACAACATTTTCTCCAGCCTGCTTTGTATCAGACAGAGTGTATATACACAAATAAATATATTTGCTTTCCCTACTATATACATTTATTCACTCCAAAATGTTTGTTGAATGCCTTCTATATAGTTGGCAGTATACAAAATCAAGAAAGGTCCTGGACATCATGGTGTTTACATTTAAGGCAGACAATAAATAATAAGCATATACATAGGTATATTAGAAGGAATAAGTTATTTGGAAAGAAGAAACAAAAGAAGAAAGGGACAAGGGGAAGTGGGAGTGCCAGGAGAACGGGTCGGGGGGAGGGCCTGCAATTTTGAATAGGGTTTCAGAGCAAGCATCATTGAGAAGGTGATATTTGACCAAAGACTTGATAGAAGTGAGGTTGTTGGCTCTGCTGACGTGTGAGGGAAGATCATTGTATAAGCCACATGTATAGTCAGTGATAAAGCTCTCTAAGGAGGAGAAATGTCAGTAGGTTCAAATAACAGGGAGAGACCAGTATGGCTAGAACAGAATAAGAGTGGGGAGAGTGGCAGGTGGTATCAAAGAGGGATCTGGAGCTCAGTCATATAGAACATTTTTTGGCTATTTTAGGTTTTAGGATTTTCCTTTCAGTGAAATGGGAGCCACTGCAAGGTTTTGAGCAAAGAAGTGGTAAGGCCTAATTTATGTCATCCAAGATTTACTCTGGCTGCTATGTGAGAACAGATTGTAGGGGATCAAGAGTAGAGGCAGATAGACCAGATAGGAGGCTACCACAGTCCCCAGGGTGAGAAACAATAGTGGCTGAGACCAGCTTGGTAGCAGTTGATATGATGGACAATGGTCAGATTCTACACATATTTTGAAGGGAAAACACATACAACTTTTAGACAGATTGGTTACGTGTATTTGAAGAAGAAGCAATAATGTACCCTAAGTGCTTTTGGTTTGAGCAACTGAAAGGCTGGAGTTACCATGAACTAACATAGGGAGGGCTGTGGTTGGAGAAGGCTTGAATGGGAAGATCAGGAATTCAGTTTTGAACAGGATGAATACAGATGTGTAATAGACATCCAAGTGGAGAGATTGAGTAGGTGCTTGGATACATAAGTCTGAGTTTGGGGACTAAGGTCTGGGCTGAAGATATTAATGTGTTCACCAGCAGGATAGAGATGATATTTAACACCATGAGTTTGGGTGAGATAGCCAAAGGAATTGGCGTAGACAGAGAAGGATTAAGGATTGGGCTTATTTTGAAGCAAGAGACTACATGGTCTTCATCTCTGTATCCCTCTCTGGGCCGAACTCAGAGCCTGGCCCATATTACATACTAAGAAAATGCTGAGTTAGAGTGAACTAAATTCAGACAGTTTGGCTCTCCTCTCTTGCCCCTGCCCCCATCTCTGTTCCAGCCATCCTATCCAGGCATGCCACAGTCTAACAGAAGACATTGAAACAGTGCTCTGTTCTCATGGTCACCATTCTTTGTGAGCCCAAATCTTGCTTAAAACAAGGGGTCCCAAGATTTTTCTGTGTTTCATCCCCATCCCATCTTGCACTCTAGTGGGAAGCAAGTCCTCCTTTTAGATCCAAAAAGAATGTGCTCAGGGAACTTTCAAAATGACACCCTGCCTTGGGACTGTCCAGGTGTAAGTTGGAGATGTGTAACACTGATGGCCCAGTAGCATCCATCTGTTGACTCAGGTAATTGTACACTCCTCTGGGGGGGCTCCCCCAAATGGAAATGGCTTAAGGAGGATTGTCACTTAGCCTCTGACCAAGCAGAATAGCTTCTGGTAGTGAGAATAAAAAGTTCCTATTCTCTAAGGAAATCACTAATAATTCTTTGGCCATAGGAACAAATCCCAGTTTTAAAGCTGTCTCAAGCAATTAATGACATCTTCACAGAAGGAACCATGCTTCTGAAAGTTAGCCAGTCAACAATAGCCTCAGTCCAATGGTGATACTTCCGAGTTAAAGTTCAGCTAATCCTCAAACACTCCACTTGCAAAAGTCCAACAATCTCTAAACACCACAGTACCCAAAACCCCACATAAAAGCAACAGTTTATTTGTTTGTTTGTTTGTTTGTTTCAGATATTAAGTGGTAACCTCTTCAATCAACAGTGAAAGTATTTATTTCTTCTAGCTGAGGGAAAAGGCTTATAAAATTCATACACAATCCCATTACTCTGAAATTCATATTTGCTGCAGTATTTGCTTATGACTCATTCCATTTGATCTTTATCTTTCCCTATGAGGAAGAAGATTGGCAGTCAAAGCTTTCTATTGATTCTTATTTGTGGAAACAGGTCACATAGCTGGTTGGTGGCAGGGTGGGGTGTGTGCATGCTTCATTCAACTTTCCCATGATCCCAGCTACCCAACCATGGTTTAGCCTCTCAGTGCTCTGAAGGAATTACTAGGATTCTTTCTCTCATGTAAAAAGCTCACCACTGTAATAGAGGAATCAAGGCTAGCCTGTTGCTTTGATGATAATAGCAAGACATTTGACACATCAGTTTTTGCCAACTATGAGTTGGGCTATTGGAATTGGATTATCAGCAAATATTTTCTTATTTAAATAAAGCATATATAAAAATGACTGCCTGACAAGGTAGGAAATGGCAAGGTCCTAAAGAGGAGGGGAAAGGTGCCAGGAGAACTTGGAAGAAGGTAAGGTTATTCCTATGTGGGGATCAGGCAGGCTTTCTTGGATGAAAAGGCTCTTAAACTAAACCCGGAAGGACAACTGAGATTAGCAAATTCAACAACACATATATAATTCAGAGGATGAGTGATTCACCACCCCCATGCTGTGATCCCTGGAATGGGTATTTAGCCATCTCCATGGGACCATATGCCCATCTCTGGTGGGATCACAGAACTGTATCTGGTTTCTAACCTTGCAGAGGACAAAAGGGTCCCTCCATAGATTCAATTCACTTAAGCAATCTAGGTCTCAATCGTATAACTAAAAGGCCAAAAGGATCCATTCCTCACCTGGGAAAACTGGGCAAAGCTGCGATCTGAAAACAAGGGCACGTGTCCCAACAACTCATGGCAGATGTCACTGAAAGACAGAAAGCACAGAGCTTGGAGGTAAGGCGTGTTATAAGCCAAATCAGACTCAGTCTTTCTATATGAGAAATGAGCCAGTAGAAAGGAAGTGAGCCACTGAAGTTTATGACCTCATTCCCAAGCATAAGTGGTACGTAAAGCATGGGATCAGATAAGGCAAGGTACAAAAGAAAAGGAAGAAGGGGAAAGAAAAGTAAGGGGCAAGTCAGGGAACAACAACCAGGGGGTCTTAAGTGTATGTTCAGTGGGGTTCCGAACAGAAGAGCCAAAATTCCTATGGACTTCCTCCTATACACCTGAGCAAGCTGTGGGTCATGAACATTTCCCATCCCAAGTCTTCATCTTGGTATTGACATCCTGGGCAGATGCAATGTGCTCAGGTATTCCCCATAAGAAATAAAAATTAAATTAAAAAAATAGTGCTGTTCTTTTCTTATTCTAGAGGGGGGCAATAGTCAGAGAAGAAAATTTACATTTATTTAACATATTATGTGCCAGGTTCATTAGGAATAGGTCTTTTCTGATTTGTAGTTATAAACTTTGTGGACAGGAAAAAAATCATTTTGGGCATCCTACTGACTTTTTGTATAAATTGCGTAAGTCCTATTTGATTAAGAAGATGGCTAAATGCCAACAAAAGGGGCTCAGTGTCCAGCCATTCTCTATCTCCAGACAAGATGCATCTAGACATAAGAAGATTATAATCATCTAGATGTATATTCTGAAGTTATTGAGTTACTTTGGTCACCACTTGTTCCTGTTCACATTTGGAACATCATAGTTCTGACTCTTATAATCCCTTTGGAGCTTGACTGTGACCTCTTATTCCCATGGCCAGGGGAGATCTGAATGTGTAGTTCACAAGATACCCAAATCCCCTATCAGTATGGTCTACTGGACAGAGAAAATACCCTGGAGAGATGATCCCTCTCTTTGTGCTACCATCAAACCATCCAGAAAACTAGTCCTGTGGATCAGCCTTCCATGAACCCAAACCTCATTCCTGGAGCAGTGAGTAATGGCATTCACTGTGGTTGGATACTGGTAGCAGGAGAAGAATACTCACGGTTCAGGGGTATACATGGGTTTGGACCCATGTCTGATGTACTGAGTACAGTGGAAAACTCGGAAGGCCAGGCCACCCAAGAAATCACGAGAGGAAAGTAGGCCAGCCACAGGTCGGAGGCGGAATCCAGTGCAAGCTGCAAAGCAGAGAAAGAAAACTCAAAGCCTATCATGGCAGAGCCAGAGGCGCCTGAAGACCATTAGGTAGGAAAGCAATACTCCCAACCATCTAGCAGCATGGGTATGGATGCCAAGTAGACTTGGCTTCACATCTCTGCCTCTACACCTTGTACCTGGGCAATTTGGATCAAATAACTTCATTTCTCTGAGCCTCATTTCCTCCTCTGCAAAATGTGGATAGGTATTCACTAGGGTTATTCCAAGAATCAAATGAGCTAATAAATATAAAGTACTTAGCACAGAGCCTAGCACATTGGAGTATTTAATAAATTTAGCTTTCATTATTGTTTATTAGGATGAAACATTTATTCCTTATTTCTCATGTCTCTAGAGTGGGGAGGGTTTTCATTCCACTTCCAGAAGGGAAGAGTATAAGAGGAACCCTTCCAGCTTCTCTACTGCCCTTCACACACTACACCATAGAAAGAGCAAGGACTTCTCTGATTGGAGCATTTGGGAAGAGAAAATGAATATTCTCAATTTGATCCCTTTGGACCTTTCTCTCCTGACTGCCTACAGAGGAGCACATTCTGGTCTGCTCTGGGCCATGCAATAGAATATACACTTCACCAGTGAATTGGTAAAAAAGTTTACATAATTCAGAGGTGAAATATTAGAAAGTCCATTTTGTTTGTACAGCCATACTACATTTTCCAAGTAGCTTTTATCAGTAATAAAGTTGATTTTTTTATCCTCCCTCTGGTTCCTATTTCTGGCTCTCGATTTGTTTCAAACTTGGAAGGAGAATAATAATCACAGTGATGATGATGACGATGACGATGATGATGATAGCTAACACTATATACTGCCCACCATATGTCAGACACTGTTCTACATGCTTTATAAATACTAACTAGTTCTCCTAATAACCCTATGAGGTAGATGCTCATATTATTTCCACTTTACAGATGGGGAAGCTGAGACACAGAGAAGTTAAAGTTCTTGTCCAAGGTCACAACTACAATCAGTCTGGCTTCAAAGTCTATTCCTTAGTTACTTCTCATTAATGCTCCAGCTGCTAGTATTACCATTTTATTATCTCACTATTGGCCATGGAAACATGGATAATTAGCCAGAGAATGTCTTTAGGACATCCTTGCCCCTGTGCCTATGTTTCCTGGATCTTCAGGCTGAAATTCACTCCACTTGGCCTCTCATTCCCCTCTTTATCTGATAAGTAGAGACTGTCCAAATAGAAGGGACCTGAAAGGTCATCTAACCCATCCCCAATCTAACCCAGCTACCATTTTTCTCCCTGCCACATAATCTCCCTGGCTCCTTGCCCCAGAGCTGACCATACCATCTCCATATAGTTCAGAGGCATAGAAACTTCTTCATTTCTATAAACCTGTGGTCTGTCTTCCTACTTTCTCTCATTCTGGCACATACTGGCACATACTAAGTGTTTAATATGTGTTAGCTGATAGTTTTATTTTGGTTTTGCTGAATTAATGCCTCCTGGCAGAAAGGAAAATACTTATCTCACTTGGAAATGATGTGCAGAGGTCAGTCATCCCAATAACGTATTTCCCCACAGAGTTACTCAGATTCCAATTCAGTCCCAATTCACTGAGCACCTATTTTATATGTAGCACCATGCTGGGTGTTTTCACTTGCAATGTCTTATTTCATTCCCACAATTTCCCTAAGAGACAGTCTATTTGACAGATGACTAAACTGAGGCAGTTTCCCCCAAATAGAGAGGGTCAAAGCAAGAGTCATACCAGTTGGATGCACAGACTTAGAGCTCAGGGCTCTTGGCATTGTCACAAAGAGCACATTTCTTACACAAATGCACACTGCAGCCATCTCACAACACAGCAGGAACTACAAGGAGAGCCTTGCCTGGGCCCCTGGGGCTTTGAGTATGGGAAAAAGTGTTTTTCAGAGACATGGATATGGCAAAATCCATACATGATGCCTTGTCTTGGATGAGAGTGGGACGAACAGTGGAAGCTAGTCGTGAGACAGAACACAGCAGTGAAATGTTTTTTTGGAGAATCAACCTGCATGCATTACCACAAACACACACACTAGCTTCAATTTACTTTCTTCCCTTTCCCTTCCCTCCCCCTCCTCCCCTTTTGTCCCTGAAGTGGACTTACTCTGCAGAAATTGAGAAACCTCTTCCAGCTGGGGAATGTTATCTTCGCGGAAGCCACAGTACTTTTCCAGAAGTGGGAAGATGTGATTGTGCTCATAGCAAGCATGGGTTTTATACAAGGACTTCAGGGTCCTGAACACCAGCCCCCATGTATTCTTTTCTTCCTCTGTGTATTCCACTTGAGGTATGGGCTGACCACTAGAATACAGGCATGAAATATTTGTCTCCAGCAGGGCAGGTGTAAAGAAGAGGAAGAAGGAGCATTAGCAGAGAGAGACAGGTGCAGAGTCTCTGAGCTGCTGTCACCTGGACTGCAGGGGATTTCATAAGTTATTTGAAAGAGGAAAACTCTATTTCATGATATAGGAAACATTCATGTAATTCGGTTAAGCAATGATCCAAGCTCTCAGCTCACCTACCACACCAAAGATTTGTTCTCACTTTGGAAAATCACTTGGCCTTTCTGTTCCCCTATCTCTCCAATTATTTACCCAGGGTGGAAGTTCACTTAACTTCAGGGACCCAGCAGGTAACATAAATGGGTAAAGTAGCAGGTATGGACAATAAGAGGGTGAGAGCTGAGACAACTGAAGAATGCATCCTCTTTCTAAACAAAGGCATCCAAGTTCAAGTAAAGCAATATCATGTGTTGTATTGTGTCAACTAACGTAATTATATCTGTGGGATAAAGTGGATCTAATTTGTGGACCCTGAGTTTGAGACCCTTTTGGTGGGCATGCACTTGCTGGATTTGATATTTCTGACCTTAGGAAGCTATAATGGTATTTAAACGCAGGCTAGGTATAAGATCCACTTATGCAACATCTTCTGCTATGACACAACAGAACTACAGGGAACTGGTTAAAGTACATGTGTTGGACCTTGCCCCACAGATCCTGAATCTTTTGGGGAGGGAAAGCCAAGGCATCTGGATTCCAATAAGCTTCCAGGGGACATAGTATTGCTTGAGACTCATTAGTTCCAAGGTCTTTTTGAAAAACATCTGAGAATAAGCTGTGTTCTCAACAGTAAAAACAAATGAAAATCAAACAAAGCCTGACCTTAAAAACCAGTCACTGTTCTTTGCACTGCAGGCCTATTTCCCAACAGTGTACACAGTGTCTGGGAACAAGGCAGCACTGTTTACTTCAGAATTGTGGATCATCTTCAGGCTCCAAAGTAAGGTTTCTCCTGCCCTTTCAAAGTTGTAGCTCATCCAAGGACATTAAAGCAAAGGCACTGTAAGTTCCCCAAAAAGGTGGGCAGGGATTAGGGAAAAATGATAAATTTTTGCTTAGGAATTGAAAGTAGGACAACCTCAGAAGACTCTGTAATGACCATTAGGAATTGTGAAAAGAACATCAGGTAAGCCCCTGCCTGAGGATGCACCATTATTTTAAGGCCAAAAGCTGCTGGAAGGAAAAAGCAGGCTTTGATCATGGACAGAGATGGGTTCACTACTTGGCTCTGCCAGTTCCTAGCTGGATAGTCTCTGGAAATTTAATAAACCTCTCTAGGCCTAGTCTGTGCTGTTATTAGATGGGTTAATAATAAGTAACTATTTGAAGAGTATTAGAAGAAAATTAGGTGAAATACTATGTATAAAGTACCTAATATTGGTGCTGACCAATAATACCATTGGGTAATGGATAATTATCATTATAACTGATTCTTATTTAAAAAGAAAGGTATTTGCTATTTTGTAACAAATTTTTAAGAGATAGTAACATCCTGGGTACAAAGATGTCCCCCTGGTTGATATTTGCTGTTCTAGGGGTTCAATATCCCTTCCTCATTCCTTCAGTAAATCACCCTCTTCCCCTCTCAGTGTGAGGCTCAGGTGGGAGGAGACTCCACCACTCCCACCTGGGCATGTGACCAGGTCTGGTAATTAGACTGTCTCATTTCCCTGGTCATAGAGACTGGCTGAAAGATGGGCCCATGTCCTAATCAGAGCCAATGAGACTCAATGAGAAAACCTGTGTGGATTCTGTTGGAAAGAGATAGAACCTCTGATTGAGTTAGGGTTTCAGCATGGTGGCACTGGGCTCACCTCCAAGAGAGATGCCAGAGACTAAGGCCAACGTAGAGGACTCTAGAGTCAGAGAGAGGTATGGAGGGAGGGAAGTGTGTGGGACCCTGAACGAGTTATTGTCACTTTCTGGGCCATATGTACATTCACTATAAGGAAGGACAATCAAATCTATCTTATAATGTTGTAATGGTAATCAAATAGATCATATCTCAAGTGTTGCCTGGATATAGTAAATATTTCAGAATTTATTTTCTGTCTCTCACACACACATACACACTAACTTCCATGGTCTACTTAGGAATTAAACACAGCACATTTTATTCCATCTTCTATTTCCATCAAGAGACCTGAGGTTCTATAAGATCCTTGGTCTTTGAAGAAATTATCAATTATTTTTACCAAGTCATGATCTCATTAAGTAAAATAAACTAAGATATTTTAGGAAGAGTGTCAGTTTGGTTTGAAATAAAAAGGAGATTTCTGGTTAAGCCAGTTAGGATTCCTCTTCAAAAAAAGAATTTTTAAGTAGAAGACATTTTTTCTGAATTATTCTGTCAACCAAATATGGCATTCAATATACTCCAGCACCTGGCACAGCCTTCCCTCTCCTTGGTGTCTTATTTTACTCCAGGTCCTCCCATTCATGTAATTATTACAAGACAAATATTTTGGTGCCCCAAAGTACAACTGTAATTTGTCAGTGCCTCTTCAAACTGATGTTTTAAGACTTATTAAATGTTCTTGGGTTGGGGAGTCAGAGCATTATATGGCAGATGGGCAGAGAAGAGGGTAGCTAGCAGTGGTGGGGTTTAGCTGCTTCTTTATTTTCTATAGTAATTCACTCTGACTCCAAATATTCACATCTCAAAACAAAAGCCCCATAGCTAACCAGACCCACCCTTTCATTCACTACCCCCATTCTCTTTGGCTATAAATTCCAACTTAATCTTTAATTCTCAGCCTAAACTTTACATCTGGCTGACCCATTTGCTCAGTCTACATTTAAACTCTTAATGATATGCCTTATGACACCTAAGTTTTGACTTTGGTATACCTATTGTATTTATTGTTACTTTTGTCATTGTCTTTCCCAGTGTTTCCCCAGACGACATGGTCTCTGTTGGTCTTACTCTTGGGGTAGGCTTGGAACTTAATAGATATATCTTATCACCTGATCAATATCCTGTGATTCTATGACTCATGATGCATGAGTTTGTGCTTTATTCCCTTTGTGGAATAATGAATGGCAAAGTGCCAGAGATCTGAATGTGGGGCCTATTGGCATGGAGGGTGGCAGAAGCCAAGGAAGAGGGCCAAAGTTTAGTCCTGAAAGACATTACAACTTCTGGGGTGGGATGAACAGGCCAGGGAGAACTGAGAAGCCTCAGAAAGGAAGGAGGGAAACCAGTAGAGACTGGAATACATTCAATACATTCGATTCTCATTATATATGGTAGTTATGCTACATACAGTCATCTGAACACTGAACCATTTGTCCAAAAGGAAACCAGGACTTGGGTCCCATGAGCTTCTGGTCACATTTTAGTCAAATGACAGTATTAATCTTGTTTTGTGTGAGCTTTTATATAAAGAAATCTTATTTAGTACATATGGTTGAGTCATCAACGTTGTACTCAACAGCACTATAACTCATGCCTGAATGAGGCTTACCTAACATACATGTATTTTCTCCATAAGGCATATCCCAGCCTTCTTGCACTTAGGAACCCCACACAGCACTTCACCACCACACTGGGGGGCCATCTTAAACAGCAAAATTGCCAATAAAAAGTACAAAAAATTGGCAAATGTGGATCTAATCTAAGTAGATCTCAAAAAGAACAGTTGTTTACAGATGAGAGCTGGAATAAGAAAGTGGTGTCACCTTGTTCAACCTGGAAACTTGTGTATCAGGCAACTCAAACTTTTCCCCATTCTTGTCATGTCTAGGAATGATCGTAGAAGTGCCACAAGTATTGATTTGGAAGTCTCAAATAAATGTAAGCAAGTAATCCTTGAATAATGAGAAGCCACTGTGCCAGATACCGAGCTGAGACCATTTCAAAACTAGGCTTTGAATTTGAGAACAAATTCAGCCTTACTAGCCACATCACCTTGGCCCATATCACTTAACAATCTGAGATTCATCTGTAAAAATCAAGAAATTGACTAGAAGATCTCTAACATTCCTCAGAGAGCCAGCCACCCATGGATGGTTTTCAATAATCCATTTAACTTACTTGATAAACATCCAGGATGGTGAGGCATTCAATCAATTCCATGCTTCTTCATTAGGTTTAACATTTTTATGGAAAGCTGGTTAGGGGTTCAGTTTCTTCCTTCAAATCCCAACAGCCAAGCAATAACTGAATATACTTCCTAAGCAGCTCCTGGATTATATGGAAAAGTGTGATCTCCTCATTCTGAGAATCCCAGCATTCAGGGAAGAGGGTGAGAATGTTTTGGAGTTAACGAAACCTGAATACAAAAGTGGATGATGCCACCTACGAGTTATATGACCTTGGCAAGTTTCTTAACTGCATGGAGCATTAGTTTTCCAATCTGAAACATAAGGAGTTATTACTAAGAATAAATGAAATCATGGAAGCAAAGCATGTAGCAAAGCCCCAGACATAGCAAGGAGATCATAAATATAATATATTTTTATTTATTACCTGAAAAAGGGCTCATGTCTGTACCTGATTTGATGGTGTCCACCTGACCATGCTAAAGCAAATATAGGGACGGGGGGTGGGAGGGAGGGTTGCCATGTTCTGTGATTCCTGCTTGTTACAAGCCAAGGCCCAAATGGGCCTAGATTTAAGCAAGGTCAGCAAAGTTCTGGATCTTTCCACTGCCGGAAGTCATTCAGAGAAGGGAATTTTCTTATCTTCTCTGGAGGTCTTTCCATCTGGAAAGTAGGTAACTTTGTATCCAGTAAACAGAGCCCTATCCTCTTCTTTATCTCCCTCATATTCTATCAAAGCTGTTCAAGTACAATTCCCTTAGGGCTCTGGTCAAGTTTTAAGTCTCTTCTTGAGCCTGTCTTTTCTCCTGTCCTTAACTCAGGAATGGAGCTCAGGCCTCAAATACTAAATGTCCCATGGTAGCATTTCTGTAGTTCCTGAGGACTCAAAATAGCAAGAACAGTTCTCTTCCCAAATGACTTTGATACTTGCATTTTCCTTTGGCTAAAATAGGGTAGAATCCCAGACAGAAAAAAAATAAACTCATCAGAAAATTGCCCTTCGCAGCTGGGTCAGATCAGATAAAAGTAGAACACTGAGGCAGAGCTCATCTGAAATCTCAAATGATTCATTATTTCAGTAAAGCAGCCAACTCCTCCTTGAATGTAAATGATTCTCTTTTTCCTTCTTCCCTGTTTAATGTGGAGAATACCAGAGGCTGTTTTATTCAGGGCTGAGGCCTTTTATAATTACTTCAGACGTTAGTGCATAAGGACGCAACAAAGCTGGGGAGAGAGCTGGGCCCCTGCTCAGTGGGTAATTTTGTTTTGTCTAGCAGCATTTTTTTTAAACATGTGTTATTAAAGGGAGGGTTTAAACACACACACACACACACACACACACACACACAACAGGACTCTCTATGCTAGTATTTTCCAAACTTGGGCGAGGAAAAGGTAAGCTAGGAGTGTGCTCTTCTCTCTTCCCCCAGACAAGCAAAGCGGACTTACTGTCGGTAGTTGTAGGCGATGTCAGCAAACTGCTTTCGTCTGGCTCGATACACAGGATCTTTAAAACCCTAGGAGAAAGGAGACACTTGATTTCTCAAGGCTTGAGCAGAGAGGTCTGGCATATCTATGCACAATTCAAATGGGGGCTCGTGAGCTCTGACAGTCCAGCTCTCCTTCCTCAGATTATACCCTGAAAATAAGGTTTCAGTGAAACTAAGGGTAAGCTCTCCCACCAGGTATTATGAATGGCACATTATCAGCAACACCTTCAATTCAGTGTGGGTCTCTCTGCTAAGGAATTCCAAAGTGCAAATGGTGTACAGGTTTTTTTAAAAAAAATCTCATCTTCAGCATTTCTAACTTGCAAACTTGCTAAACTAGGCAGTTAGCAGGATAGATGTTTATGACAAAAATATATAATATCCACTAAATACCTAACAATGGTATGTGTCTAGAACTGCTTCCTGACCTTTTATTTTAAGATTTATTTATTTATTTATTTATTTGAGAAAGAGAGAGAGAGAGATAGCACAAGCAGGGGGAAAGGAAGAGAGAGAGGGAGAAGCAGGCTCCCCACTGAGCCAGGAGCTCCGAGTCAGGACTCCATTCCAGGACCTGGAGATCACGACCTGAGCTGAAGGCAGATGCTTAACCACCTGAGCCACCCAGGCGCCCCTTCCTGACTTCTTAATAAACAAACAGGTACATGCTTGCTGCTATTGCAATTTTTAAAAATACTATTCCTTGAGTGCTTACTATGTGCCTGTCTGTGTGGGCTAGGGACTTCTTTTATCTGTAACTCTCACAAAAAACTTGTAAGGTAGATCAGTATGATTATCCCCATCCTTCTAGAATAAACAGTGGCTCAGGGAAAAAGGGGTCAAGCAAAGATGAGGCCAGGGTTTGAATCACCCAGTTTCATGTTCTTTTCACTACACTTCAGTAATTGTCAACCTTTATAACATGGCAGGGGCTCAACTGAGAAATCAGTCTCAATATATAAAAATGAAGATAATTATTTCTCCTCTGAGACTCACCTGCCGGCAGCCCTTCCCCAACAATTCATAAGTAGCATATTTCTAAACAGTGAAAAGAAGCCAAGAGTGTCTTTCAGTGTTAGTGCAACATATCCCTCAGTCAGAGGTAAGCCCAATTAATTAAAAGGGCCTTTTCCTTGCCCTTTCTTCTAGGAGCTCTATGGTTTAAGGTCTTGCATTTAAGTCTTCAACCCATTTCAAGTTAATTTTTGTGAGTGGTATAAGATAGGCATCTAATTTCATTCTTTTTGTATGTGAACATCCAGTTTTCCCAACTCCATTTATTGAAGAGATCATCATCCTTTCCCCATCGAGTGTTCTTGGCTCCCTTGTCAAATATTAGTTGACTGCCTATGCATGGGTTTATTTCTGGGCTCTCGATTCTGTTCTATTGATTGGTCTGTATGTTTTTAGCCAGTACCACACTACTTTGATTTCTATAGTTTTGTAATACAATTTGAACTCAGGAAGTGTGATACCTCTACCTTTGCTCTTCTTTCTCAGGATTGCTTCTTCACACTGGTTTTAGCAATGATTTTTTTGGATATGACACCAAAAGTACAAGCAACAAAAGCAAAAGTAAACAAGCAGGACTATATTAAACTAAATGCTTTGGCACAGCAAAAGAAACAACCAACAAAATCAAAAGGCAACCAATGGAATGGGAGAAAATACTGCAAATCATATATCTAATAAGGGGTTAAAACCTGAAATATATAAGTAACTCATACAACTCAACCAAAAAATTCCAACTAAAAAATGAGCAGCGGAACTGAATAGGTATTTTCCAAAGACAAAATAACACGTAGCTGGTAAGTACCTGAAAAGATGCTCAACACTAATCTTCAGGGAAATGCAAATCAAAACCACAATGAGATATCACCTCACACCTGTCAGAATGGCTATCATCAAAAAGGCAGGAGATAACAAGTTTTGACAAGGATATGGAAGAAAGTGAACCCTCATGTACTATTGATGGGAATGTAAATTGGTGTAGCCACTATGGAAAACAGTATGGAGGTTCCTTAAAAAAATCAAAAACAAAACTACCATAAGAGCCAGCCATCTCACTTCTGGGTATGTATCTAAGGGAAATGAAAACAAGATATTGAAGAGACATTTGCCCTCTCATGTTCACTGCAACATTACTCACAATAGCCAAGGCAGATGTTGATCAAAGGGTACAGACTTGCAGCTATAAGATGAATAACTTCTGGGAATCTAATGTAAGCATAGTGACTATAATTAATAATACTGTATTATACACTTGAAAGTTGCTAAGAGAATAGATCTTAAGTATTCTCATCACACACACACACACATACACAAATGGTAAACATGTGAAGTAATAAAGATATTAACTAACCTTGTTATAATAATTTTGCAATATATATGTGTATCAAATCATCATGTTATACACTGTAAACTTACACAATGTGATATGACAATTATATCTTAATAAATCTGAAAAGGGGGGTATTTTACAAAATAAAAATGACTGTAATCTGAATTTTAGAAAGACATGAGACTAGCATCATCACTGTAGGACTTGCTTTGTTCCTTCCAAGCGTTTCCCAATAAGCGATAACATCTACCCCGTTAGCTTGCTCAGCGAGGAGCCTGCTTCTCCCTCTGCCCATCCCCTTGCTTGTGCTCTCTCTCTGACAAATAAATAAATAAAATCTTTAAAAAAATCAATCAATCAATCAATCAGAGCCTGCCAGCAATTCCAAAGAATCAGGGATATATATATATATATTATCCGAGACTCTGTAACATAGAGTCTGGCATATAGAAAGAACTACAAACACTGGTTGAAAGAAAGAAGGAAAGAGGAGGGAGGGAGAGAGGGATGAGCAGAGGGAAGGAAGAAAGAATTTCTTAGTTTATTAAGATAACAAACAAACAAATTTTGAGAAATAGAGAAATTTAAATGTTTCATATTGGAAAATTAAAATTGCCATAAATTTTTATTCCAAACCTAAATCTCAAGTAAATTAAGTGATCATTCAGTTTAGAAAAGATTCCATGACACAGTTACCACAAAGCATAGCTCTTCGGTTTTCCTTAGAGTACTAAATAGTTTGGAATCATTCATTACAGGTAGGAAGGCTTAGGAATCTAAAAACTTAAAACTACCCTTGGCGCACTTCTACTGGATGAAGATAAGTTGCTTGGGATGATACAGTCAGGAAACTGGGCACCATGATTTAATTTCCAAGTAGTACTAAACGCACTCCTTTAGGAACCTACCTGCCAGACTAAATGAAGAACATATCTCCATACTTAAGACTCAAAATATAAACCTAATTCTTGCCAGTCATTAAGGTTTGATCATCACAGTTATCTTCACCTACCTGTCTTATTTAATAGTCAGGAATAAATGGCTCTCTCCAGCCCCTAATTATACAGTGTAGACTTTTGCACCTGTAAGTCATCTTGGAAAATACCTATTTCTATATTTTAATCTAGATATGAGGAAAATGAAGCTCATACAGCCATTTGCAGAATTAGCACCTCTGCTGGGGTTTTCTGTTTGTACCCACGTAGCGGGCTGAGGTTTGAGGGTTGAGCAGGAAACCAGGATGATGAGGGAAGATTTCCTTTAGCCAGTGGATTTCCACTCCATTATGCTGCCTCTGGGAATGAGATGCCCATGACAATTTCTCTTCCCTATTTAGTTCTTTATCTTTGATCTTTTTTTTTAATTTAAATTCAACATATAGTACATCATTAGTTTCAGATGTAGAGTTCAGCAGTTCATCAGTCAATATACTTTGTCTAGATAGTTCAAAGATATTTCCATCAGAGAAAAAAAGTTTCCTGTAAAATTATATACCCAGTAAGTATCAACTCTGTCAGAGGGAATATACAAATGAAATAATGGAAAAGTATACCAGAGTCTAACAAATGTTATGAAAATGAGAAACAGTAACTGTGTTATTTTTCTATACTATTTATGCTTTTGAAGTTTTGTACTATAAGTGTGGATTTCTTTTGTAATTAGTAGAAAAGTGAAATAGTATTACAGATCTATCTCAAACCATTATGAAGAAGTAACAAGATTCACACATTGAGCTATATCAACACACACACATATACAGTATATGATATGGATCTTCCATAGGGAAACTTTCTAATCACAGTCCTTTCCAGCTCAAAGTACCTAATAAGTTCATTATCAGTCTTCAAGAAGCCCCCACTGGCCAGGCTGCAAGGACTTCTGTCCCTCAGTTATCAGTGAAAGAGAGCTGGGATCTCAAAGTCCATCTCTTGGTGGTTTGGCCTTGCATCATTTGGGCTGCCAGATGACCACAGGGCCTCTGCAGCCATGTGGAGTACACTCTGAATTAAGTACACTCTGAATTAAGCTTCACTTGATGATGACTAATCATCCTGTCTCAATTTAGACTAATAGCAGCAATTTCAGTAGCACTGCATGTAATTTATTTATAATCACCCTGTCTCAATTAAGCTAATAGCAGCAATTTCGGTTGCACTGCATGTAACCAAGTATGTTTTGACAGGAAAATATATTGTTGGTGAAGGAGGAGTGGGCAGGAGGGGGAAGAGGGGAGGAGTGGAAGGGACAGAATGGAGAGAATTCTACATGATGCAAAGTTATAACATCACCTGCAGTCTGTATGCAATCACTTTCCTTAATCTTGGAATTTTTGTTACTTGGGTGTTGAAGTGTGTGGTTTTGTTGTAGTGGGGATTTCGGGGAGTGGGTAACTACATGGTAAAGTCTTCTGAGATCTTTATTTTATCATTTCTTGATATCATGGCTGAGGTTAAACCTCAGAAATGCCATCTTTAGGCTAGCAAGGAGAACAGGGAGTTTCGAGTCAGATGGGCTGGGTGGATTATGAACCCCAGTCACTAGGAGCTTGGCTTGAGGTTAGTCAGTTCAACTCTCAAACCTACGTTTCTTCATCAGTAAAATGAGACTGTCAGCTACCTCACAGTATTGGGTGGGTTAGATTAGGTAACACAGGCAGAGCACCAAGTAATACTCTGAATTTTAAAAA